CAGGGCATGGCGGCTATGAATCGACAGTGGCGGCGATCCAACGATGGCAGCAGCAACCTAATGTGGTGATCCAGTGGCACTGAAGGTAGTGATTATTTTTTTATGATAACTCCATAGCCTCAAAGCTCCTTTACTTACACAATGGAATGCATCTTCCCCAATTCACATCTACGAAACGCTTTCTTCAATTACAATATCTGACCATTACAAAAATCTAAGAAAATAATTGAATCAAGCACAATAAAATCTTAAACAAGCCAATCAAGAAGGCAAAGCAGCCTTGTATTTCCTCATCACATGCAAAAGTGTTTGCACAATAATAGAGGTAAGAACTCTGCAGTTATCAACTTTATCCTTTCAAGAGATGTTGGAATAGCCCTCAAAATGCTCTCATTTCAAGCATCCATGAGGTGTAGTATCATCATACTATGTATTCATCTTAAAGCACTTCATCGAATAATGTCAATATGTTTTTTAGTTATCATGACATCCACAAATCTATCACATGAGCCATTTTATCTCTAAGGAAATAAATATTTTGCTGCAAATATGGCAACCTTTTATCTTCATTTTCCTACTACAAGAAATTTGATCTATAAATCTTTTTTAAGAGATGAATTGTGTCAGTCAATCTCACTCACCTTATGATTTCATGACATTTAGCCCTCATTTTAAGAGATAGACTATTGTACAACCCTTAATCAATCATTTAACTTCAGGTTGCCCATGTAACAACTCAACCAATTGTGACCTCATACACTACAGCACACTGCATCTACTTCAGTACATCATAGAAAGAGAACCATAACAAATTCAAATTCAAAGCATCAAACCCAACACTCATTTACAAATCGTAAATTAGTAGCATAGTATCAAGAAAAAAAAAAACAACGCAATAACAATATGTGCTATTAAATACTAAAAAATAAAACCAATGAGTAGATAGTATTTATGTAAATGAGGTATTTTTTTGGCTAGTCAACACGGCCCCCAAGAAAAACATGTTTGATTGTATTTATTTGGTGACATTATATAACAAGGTCATTAGAGTTTGCCCAACAATTAGTGCCTGATTAAAGAACCAAAATTATACCAAGTTCTTATAAATAATACCATCGTCATATCCTCAAATATTTTAAGAAAAAATTCATTACCTACCCTCATGCACATGGTAATAGATCCAACCAACCTAACAAATACCTAATCAACTTCAGTTGTGTATATAATTTTCAAGAATCATGAAATCTAATAAACATTTTTAATCTCATGCGCATCAACAACACATTAAGATAGACTAAATAATATTAATTAATATAAGTAACAGTAAACAAACATAGCTTCACAGCATGAAATGATAAGCACAATGGAGTGTGTGTTAGGTATGACTCATATACCAGGAAATTTAGAGTATCTTAAAATGGAGAGGTGTGTTTCCTGGAACGAAAACAAGTGTCTCTTGGTGTGAAGATGTGTGTCTTGGATTAGTGGGTTGGGGGGAGCGAGGGCGTGTTTGTAAATTTATATGTGGGTTTTATCTATAAATAGATGTGTAACCCTATGGACTTGTAACTCCTCTGAAATTGTGAATTTGCCGCTCTGCTCTCGATGATGTAGGCATCTTTGCTTATTAGAAATTGCGAACAGGAAATGTGCTTCGTGTGAAAAAAAAATTTTGATTCACGAATCACAGGAAATTACTGGAAAATTGCTGCAATTGACAGAAAAAATTTCAGGTTTCTTTGAATTTATTTGTGGTGTGTTTTGTTTCAATACAAGGCAGGAAAAGTTCACTGCAGGATTAATTTCAAATGACAATGTCTGGTGCAAAATTTGAGATAATGAAATTCGATGAAACATGAAACTTCGGATTGTGGCAAAAAATGGTGAAAGATTTGTTGGCACAACAAGAAACTTTGAAGGCATTGCGAGCTATGAAACCTGATGGTAATATCTATAAACTGTTGGGGAGTACAGTTGTAGGTGAAGTTCACTCTGTCGGATTATATGATGAAAATGCAGCAAGATAGTTGACCAAGTCAGGTATTTTCAACAAGTTTTTGTGTTACTTGAACTTGTTGAATATTTGCAGTTGCTAGTTGGCATGGTTGCCCAACCCACTTCGGTGTAAGAAACTCCATGATGTATTTCTCCTAAGGGGCTGGATATTCGCAAGGTGAAAATTTTTCTCCTAAACGGCTGGATATTCGCAAGGTGAAGATTTTCTCCTAAGCGGCTGGATATTCGCCAAGGTGCAGAATTGTTAGGTATGGCTCGTATATCAGAAAATTTAGAGTATCTTGAAATGGAGAGGTGTGCCTCCTGGAATGAAAACGAGTGTCTCTTGGTGTGAAGAGGTGTGTCTCTTGGATTAGTGGGTTGGGGGGAGCAAGGGCGTGTTTGTAAATTTATCTATGGATTTTATCTATAAATAAATGTATAACCCTATGAGTATGTAACTCCTCTTAAATAGTGAATTCGCCGCCCTGCTCCCGAGGATGTAGGCATTTTTGCTGAACCTCATTAAATCTCTGGGTTCTTCCGATTTGCATTGATTCTGTGTTTTCTTCGCCCTAAATTTCACAACAGTATGAATGATGATTTTTAGTATATTTTAGAACTACTAATTTGTGTCGAATTATAAAAACTAATACATGCAATTAAATTAGTGTGCATTTATTATATGCAGTGTATGACACACATGATAGGGGCTATATTGGGTGGCATGATAAAAAATGATATGAAACCAAAATTTAAATTCCTATACATATAGAATACTTCACATCATAAAGCTAAGAATCATAAAATTACAAATAGCAAGCAAAATATGATATGCCCATGTAAAAATGTGCGGTAGCTTCAGAATAGAAAAATACATAGCTTAGATGGTAAAAAATGGCAATATATGATCAAATTCTCACTTTAATATACTCTAAGTTTAAATAGTTCAATCCTCATTTATTTTAAAATATGGTCCATCTCAATAGTTCGAGATCACTGAATGACTCTTTGACGTGAAATCGTTCAATCATACTTCTTTTAGAAGAGGGGTAATCTCAACAATATACGCTTTATAGCAATCCACAATATACATCCTCGACGAGTTTCAAGCAAATTGATGGATATGCATGCTTGATTAATTATGATTTTATGGATTAGCTTTGAGCAAAGGGATCATAATTGACTCAAAAGACTTCTGAGTTTTGAGTGTACCTAGAACTTTTAATGGCACCTGTTCAAGACTTATAAATTCAGCATAAATATATATATATTTTTTCAAGAGCATACAAATTGTCAGGGAGGAAAGGGATTATAAATTCAGCATAAATATATATATATATATATATATATATATTTTTTTTCAAGAGCATACAAATTGTCAGGGAGGAAAGGGCCCAATCTTAACATAATCATAATACCCATGATAATAATTAATCATTTTCATCAGTCGGAGCAGGTTAAATATCCCATATGACGTGGCATCAAGTGGGGAATGAGGATAAGACACGTGGAAGGGGAAATAAATATTGGTGGTATGAAAAATCAAAGCTAAAACAGGAGGCTACTCCGCATGTAGGCCACAGCTTTAACTCGCTGCATTAGCCCGCCAGGACATATGGGCCTTTTCGATGACCCACCACTTATGACAATCAATAAATAATAATGATAATAAACATTTAAAATGTACAAAACGATAAAACATACGCTGTACACTTCAAATATCACCACCGCGTAGTCACCATTAAATACAACAAAATAAATACTGCATAAGGTAGTCTTAAAGAAAAATATATTGCAATTCGTTGACCTTGGGGTGTCTAATACATGTGATTTGGCAGGACACGTGGGCAGTGGTGGGGCCGAATACTACATAAAAGTCAATGATTGGATAATGAGATGAGCCCACAAGTATTAGTCAAGATTTAATTTGGTAATTAGAAAACAAAAGAGTTTCTATATTTATTTAATGTTGGAATTAAAAAGTCAATGGGCTTGCTTGGCTAAACTTGAACGGGCAATTTCGGGCCCTTATTAAAAGATATTCCACTTGGCTCGTTCTGATCCATTTGTATCAATGAAAAAATGCCCTAAAGCATAATTACAGTTTCAAATAAAATTCTAAGAAAAAAGTAATTCAAATTTAAAACCGAATATTAAAATAATTTTTCATATCATATATGATTAAATGAATATTCTTAAATCTGTAAAGGTCCACTAATATATGCCTCAATGAATTTGGATTCATCAGTATTATTATTATTGTTTTTCAGGATGGGTGAAATCATAAATTTTCTATTGTTTTTAAGTATTGGCAAAAAAAGTATATATCAAGGGGATAAAATTATTAAATTATCTAAATTAATATAAGAAAAGATATTAAACTTTATTATTCATATAGAGAAATTATAAATTTCATGAAAGAAAATTATATGTCATGGGCATAACCCGGTTTTGCCCCTTGCACAAAAATGCAAGAATTTAAAATTTTTCATGCCAACTAGAAAGGTCCATAAATGAATTTCATTTTCATCTTCATGTTTCCAACATCATTTGGTCAGATGCTTTTAAAATTAAAGAGCAAATTGAATGCGTTTTACAAACACAAATTATTTGATTGGATGCGAATTTGAAATAAACTTGTGTTCATTACGATACATTTTAAATACATTACAATGTGAGGAACATTAACATGGGCAGCAGCTAACCGACGGTCATAGATGAGAATCACGAGGGGCTGCAGTGCAATATCTTGAACGTAATTCTTTTTGCCAAGTATTGTACTTAAGTTGAGAATGTGAAGAATCCAGAAGAGGTGATGGGCGAGGTCAGCTGACGCAGACGAAGCGAAGTATCATTTTCTTTTTAAGACACTGAATTTAATAGCTTTTATTGACCAAGTGACGTGCCTAATTACGTGCCCACTTTCATAAATTGCTACGATTAAACGTTGCCAACTCAACACAAATTCATACAGGCGTACAGACTCCTTTTTTTCCTTCTTCATATCTACAATAATTACATATTTATTCATTCATTTATTTCTTTAGCCAGCAGGCACCAGTACATATATCAAATCACAGTGAAGCATACTGTAACAGCAGCATGATGCACTCTTAAATTTTCTTTATTTGTTGTTGTTGTTGTTGTTATGGTTTATTTAGCTTTCGGTCGAGTTAAATTTCATGTAGAAAAGTATTTTGAGAGAAAAGCTGTGATAAAATTGCTTATGTGGAGTCCAAAACAAAATGGATACTTATCTGTTCATAACTGGATAGTATTGTACAAAGCGTGCCCCTCAAGAAAAGGATGGCCAATTAATTCACACAAAGCACTCTTCTTCCTCCTGCAAACATGAGAGAAAAAAAGTCAAATGATGATAACGACGTACAATTAATTTAAGTTGCCAGCCAAAGACCGAGTTCATACTTTTATAAAGATAATAGGCATTTCTAAAGAGCAAAACGATCAAGCTAAAATTTTTTTTTTTTTACAAAAAAAAGGGAACTCTAAGCTAACATATGAATATCAAAATGAATCTCGAAGTTAATATATTTACTTGAAATAAATCCAGCAATTTTAAGGTATATTTTGATTAGGAATTTCTTTTTTTTTTTCTGTTTTCTTTTCTACAAATTCCAATGTGCTCTAGAGAGAATTTGATTCACATTCTGAAAGGGATGGCAACCATTGAAATGGTAGCACAGGAAGAAAGCAAGGCCGAACAGAACCTCTGAAGCATGTATTGTTCACACACTACAAAGAAATTGTTGGAACAAGGAATACTTTGAATGGTCATCAAGAAACAAATTCTCCATTATAAGCAGAAACTTATATTTAAAATAACAAGAATGAATAATTCTTTCTGGAAGGAACTCTCTTCGTTTGATTTTTTGTTCTCCCGTGTTCTTCTTTTTTTTTTTTTTCTGGAAAAGATATGCATGCATGTGGATAGGGCTTTGTTCTCCCGTGTTCTTATTTGGGCAGTAAACTAGGAGAGCTTGAGCGAGAGCTGAGGCTTGGCTTTTGTTCAGCTAGTTTGCAAGTAATTTTGTTTGAAATTGGCTCTTGAAAATGAACAGTGTATTCATGTTCAGCTCGATTAACATATTATTGTTCTTGTTTGGCTCAAAATTAGCTCATTTAAATTAATTTAAGAAAATAGACGTTGGGTGATGAATTTGAACCTGCAACATTCCTATGCAATATATTATTATATAACTAAATTATATAATTTCTTTATTTTAACTTAAAATGAGCAAAACACAATTAAACAAAGCTTCCTTCGTGTTCGGCTCTTTTATAATTCATGTTTAAAAAATTTGTTCTTGTTCGGCTCACTTAACGAACAATTAGAACAGGATCTATTTAATGATTCGAACGCTGAGGTATTTGCAAAAATCAAGCTTTTTTGACAGTCCTACATGTGAAAGCTGATTCCTTCAATGATTGGGGATATGACGAAGTAAATCATTCAAAATAAGCAATAATGATTTCCTCATAATCATCACTACGTGTAGCTATGCAATGAGATTTAGAAATGACGCCTCTTTCGTTCTCATAATGACTCTACTCAATTAATGATTGATTGGATCGCAGCTCTCAGCATTAAATTGGAGCACCAATAAATTTGACATTTTTTATAGAGCGGAGAATGAAGAGAAGCATAATTTCAACACTTAACAATCAGATTAGAGACCGCTTGTGGACCAAATGTTGGCATATGAATCAAAAAAGAATGATAATTAAGATAAGGATATTACCGCATGACTTTTCAACATAACATGCAGCCGGATAACTTTGCAGCAGACCATTTTTGTAAAAGGATTCCTAGTTTTCCACATATGTACAATTTCATACCTGCACGGAATGAAGGTGTTCAGCGTCATTCATAATAAAAATATCTTAGATATATTTAATTTCAGCACAAAAATTAATAATTATAATAAATATTTTGGAAGTATAAAGCCGCAACAAGGTGTGATATTTTTAAATATCTTAGATCATTTGTGCAGAAGAATTAAGCTATAGATAAGAGTATATTTTCTGAGTTGAATATCTGAATTCGGCTAATTATAATGTAGAAAATGTCTGGTAAACATTATATCAAAAAGAATACAATGCAGAGTTAAAAGTGTTTTTATTTGTTTTAATTGTTCTTATTTAATCAACCGTGCTATATGCATCAGTGTTGATCATAAAAGAAGACACTTAGAACTGAATTTTTTTATGATCATAAAAATATTGAGGATTAGGAAAAGGGGGTAAGCCAAGGTATCATGATAAGAATTTGAATAATTATGTGTAAAATAGAATTACTTTAATAATAAAAATTATCAAAAGGTGAGAATAAAATTTTACCAAGAAGTTTATTCTCTATTGTTCAAAAAATTACAATTATAATTAAAATTATTTTTAGAAAATTCTCATTTTTTAGGACCGTTTTTTTAATATAGATGTACATATAACTATGATAGTATATCAGTATTCACAATTTTATTATGTAATTAATTAATTAGTGTGAATTTTTATTAATATTAGCAGGAACTAATGTCCTGCAGCTGAAGTCGGATATTGAGTAAATAAATCCTAAAAGTATTAACTAATTCTAATTTTACCCCTTTCTGTAACCTCCATGTGCTGCGAACAGAGACCAGGCAGAGGGCTGTGCCATAGGAGGGAAAAACGGTGTTAAGAATTGCAATTGAAATAGACAACAAGGGAAAGAAAAGAGAATGGAAAAGGGCTAGGATTTCAATTGCAACGATCACCTCATTACAAGAGTAAAAGTTAAATATATATACAATAAGCAACAAGACAAAACTACCCTTAAGTAGGGTAAAATAATAGAAATATAAAGACTATAATATCTAACAAACGGAACACCAAAGCTAGAGCTTGATTTTAAGGCTGGATTCTGGATTTCTGCATTTCACTGACAATTTGAGCTTGGATTAAGCATGGTAGGCTTGAAGAATTGACTGGTGGGCAATTAGTTTGGCATAAAAATAATGTTTTAAGAGTATTTTGATTTAAATTCTAGTTGTTAGATTAGAACTTGGTATAAATTAAGGAAATGAAGATTTTCATTAGGTTGTATATAAAAGACCTGAAGGTGATAAAAGTAAAAAAATTCATTTTGAGGTAGATTCATTCTTGGCGGTGAGAAAAAATTTCTAGCACGGGGAGAATGTATTCTCAAATCTAATGATTGTTAAATCCAAATATTACATTGAACTTTTATGCGCCTGCTTGTAAATGTTTATCCAAGTTGAACATGATTTATAATATTTGATGTTATCAAGACGTCAACGCATTGCACATAATCACCTATTAAAGATAAATTATATGTTAATTTCCAATTATAAAAAATATTTTATTTATAATGAATATTCAAATGATTAGACATTATTCACATGCTGACATATTTATGCTGCAAACACATGTTAAAACAAATTGATAATAGCACACTCAAAATAAGAAAATATTGATGCCAAAAGAGAAAATCTATGAAAAAAACTCATGTTATATGGTATAGGTTGACAAATTCTGATGACCAACACGGAGAGGGGCAAGATAACTGATGAGATGAACCTCTATTAAAGGCCAAAAGGAGTTTCAAACACATGATTTCGAAACTCTTGAAAACTGCTAAGTTATAGTAGTCCAACTTTTATCAAGAGGTTGTCTGACAAATGTTATGCTGATGCAAATCTTACCCTTTACAATAGTTATTACAGGCCAGCGAGCTAGGTAATGATCATATAATATCCAAATGAGTTAAAACAAAGGTAAAAATAATGGCATTACTCAGATAAGACGTGTAAAAAATAAAAACAAAAAATATGAAAGTAAATGATTATTTTAATACCAGTTGCGAACTAGCATAATACACTGAATGATTGCACACTCGACATTAATATTTTTTAATGTCTTAAAAAAATCCATGCTTACTGCTTATGATTGTCATTTACATTTTGAATTGTAGATCACAATTTTATTCAATGATTATGATACCAATCTAGCTATGTCGGTGTTTATCAATACATATATCAATTCAAAAGATCAACATAATATATTGTATTATTTTCCATTGTATGTTCAACTTTATTTTATTTTATTTTAATACCATTGGAGGTTTATAGCTTAGCAGATATTTTTTGTCTATAGCTTCAAATAAGGGAAAAGAACGGATTGGTTCATAGTATGGCGATCAGGTTAATCCTTCCTCTTAGTGTTTTTATGTACAATTTCGGTACGTGTTAATTATATATAATGTTTACTAAAAGTAGTTTATTTCGATAAATCTAATTATGTACTATTCAGTAATAATTGTTGTGATAAATCTATTTGATGATCATGAAAAGAGTAAATATGTGTTTTGAGAAAATATAGAAAAGCGAGTATCCACCTGATTGATGCTGATTAATGAAAGTCAAGATAGATGTTGGTACAAAATGTGCCTAATTTAATTGTGTAGAAAAGAACAAGTCACTACGAAAATTTGAATAGTGTATTCTTTCAATGAATATTTATAGACAAAAACAAAAGCAAAATAAAATAAATAATTACAATAGAAAACATCTAAAATTGCCCCTAGTTTTCCCCATGTTTGATCTATTAAAGATTTTCAATTGATACCGGCCCTAGTTCTTTCTTTGGTATATGAATCGATGGGAAAGGTACTCCTGGTAAGGAATGAATTTGTGGCCTCTAATTTTCCTTAGCTTGAACTCCCATTTTTCGTTTTTGAACTGTGGCCCCTCAGCACAGTCCCTCAAGCTAGATGGAAGAGATTTACCATTTGAAGTTTGCTTACAATATCCTTGAATGTGAATCTGTCGAGTAATTTGGTGAATATTTTAGCATGTTATCCTTTTGTTGGGACATATAGAATACAAATCAATCCGCTTTCAAGATCTTTTATAAAATACCTATCCACTTTCATATATATAGTACAATCATGTTGTAAAGGATTGTGAATAATGCTAATCGCATATTTATCATCACAATATATCTTAATGGACTCTTTTCATCTAATTTTTAAATCTCTCAAAATGATTTTAATTCATAGGAATTCACACATCCCTTGAGCAAGAGCTCTGAAATTAGATTTAACACAAAATCTTGAAATTATAAGCTTTTGCTTCTCCATATTATAAGATTTCCTTTCAAAATTGTGCAATATGCAGAAGTGAGTCTCATATTCATTGATGACCCGTAAATTCAGCATTGGTTTAACTTTAAAGTTATTAAATATTATATGTTTTTTGGAGAATTTCCTTTCTTAGATTTGATTTAAGGTCCTTAAGGACTCTATAAACAGTTTGAATGTGAAATTCTGCGTTTTTGCATAAATTTATTTTAGTACTTACTGCAAAGGCAATTTCGAAGAGTGCATGCAATAAACAGATTAATTTTGTAACTAATCTTTGATATTACCCAATGTCCACATCTATTCTTTTTTGTTTGTAATCTAATAATTTCGGGCATAATTCAATTAGAGTTTAACATGATTTGTAATCAATAATCTTTATTTTTCTTGATAAGCTTATAATATTTTTTTTTTGAAAGGTGAAGATTATTTATTCTAAATGAGGAACTTCTATATACCTAGAAAGCGTTCGAGTTCGACCAATTTGTGGACTTTGAATCTTCAATAAGTTTTCATATGAGAGATTATTTTCCATCACCAACATCTCCTATGACAATTATATCACTAATAAATCTAACGAAAAGTATAATTTTTCCATCAATGGAGTGTTTTATCAAGAGGATATTATCTACTTGATTTTTTTAGAGTGTTACTGCATACATGACTTTTATCAAAATATCATACCATATTCTAGGAAATTTTTACAACCATAAAATATTTTTCTCAATTTGCACACCTTATTTTAGTGAAAGAGCTCTCAAATATTAACGGAGAATCCGAATAAACTTCTTCAATGTTCTCATGTAAGAAAGTATTCCTTATATTATATTATTGCATGGGCCATCCAAAGCTAGCAAAAGGAGAAATTGAAATATAAATCGTATTAATATTCTTAGCAAATGCAAATATTTTTTTATAGTCCATTTCATAAAATTAGGTAGAACATTTGGCAACTAATCTTGTTTATACCACTTCAAAGTTTCACAAACTCTATAATTTAATAAAAAAATTTATCTCCTACAATTTTTTTCTTTTGTAGCTCAACGAAATATATAAGTGAACTTTTTTCAAGGTATTCATCTATCTCATGGCATCCTTTCACGTACCTCAAGTAAGATTTGAGACATTTTAAAAAAGTTGGAGCAGATGGTTGCAAGAAAGACTGTGCAGGGAAAATTTTTGAAGAGATGTGTATTAAAAATGGGATGCAACGATAAATTTCTGTTTATGGGCTAATCATTGTTGCCTGATAATGGATCTAAGTTTTGAGTTTGCTGAAGTTTTGGCTAGGTTGATTTCTCTTCCAGATTCAAAGGAGTAAAGTGATTAGAGTTTGTGTGAATGTAATGTTAAGAAATGAAAGAGTAGTTTCCTCAAACATATCTTCTAGTTAATTATTTTCCTCCTAAAGAAGAATTTGATTGAAAAAAAAATTGTTTTTAATTAAAAGAAAAATATATAAGCAATTTTTTTGAACTGAAGAATATTTTGGGAGTTGAACGTAAATACTTACACTTTTTTAAGGGGAGGAATATCCTACAAATAAGCATTTGAGCTATCTAAGATTAAATTTTTTTATGGTGTTGTTTGCGATATGGACAAGTAATGCGCTCAAATATTGTTGGAGGGTTTTGTCAGAAGAAATTACTTGAATGAAAAATTTTCATTAAGCAGTTCAAGGAACTTCTGAACATTATTACTCCAG